AATAGTAAACAAACATTAATTATCGTGTGACTCATAGTATTAACATGTATTCCAAACTCAACTGAATTCCCATGTCAACTGTGACATATACAAATACAAGAAATTGAACTTTTTTTTTTTATATTTGTCCTTTTTTTATAATATTCAATAGTGGAAAGGACGACAACAAGACAATAACACTGGACCGGAAAGAAAATATATCACCCATTTTCTTCATTGTCGTCCGTTCCACTATTGAATATTATAAAAAAAGGATAAATATTAAAAAAAAGTTCAATTTCTTGTATTTGTATATATACGTGTGTTCTCATTTTGTAAATTTAATTCATTTGTTTATAACACCTGACGAAGAAGGAAGTGCCCTTCGAAACGTTGTAATAAAAATAAAATGAAAAAGGAAGAGTAAAATTAATAAAACATTTTATAAAATATCATGCCCTTCCTAACAATCACTGAATTGCGAAGTTATTCAAGATACATATTATTAAGAGATGAAACGACGTAAACAACACAAAACATTACTCCAGGTGAATAACTAAAGAATATATGCTTGTACAAACATGAGTCTGTAGTTGATAGAGAAAAAAAGACGGAACAAGAGAAAGAAAACATCGTTCTATAATATTAATGTGACATCCTTGCCTTTTTCTGTTGCGAGTATAATAGATTTTATTTTGATTTCTTTTACCTTTGATTAGAAAACAGAATTGTTCACCATTTTTGAATGTCTACGTGTGTGTATGAAGTCGGATATTATATTATTTAAATCTTTCGTTAAATTATTTGTATAATGAATGAGAGAAAATAGAATTACTTCTAGCCTTCCCATCTATTCTAAGTATTTTTGAATATAAACGAAAAAATATTTTTGCTATTTATTTAATTTAACCTTTTCGAGGCGATTCGGTTTTCCTAGAAAATAGCTTTAACAGATTCATTTTCGTGTGGATTCACTTTTCGATAAATGCTCTAGTTGACATTTTCAGTATATGCTGCCAGTTGTTTTTCTTTTTCTTGTTTATATCATGACATAGGCGATATTCTATCATATTGAATTGAATAATTACTTCCAAGTTTGTTTTTCTTTCTTCTATGTATCGCATAGTAACAATGAGATAACGAAACGAAATTTCGATGTTTTTTTCTTTTCATAGTATTATCTGAGGTTCTTTCCTCTTGCGTGTATCAAAACAACTAAAATTCTATGATGATTTATATGCTATTTGAAGAAATCAATATAGAAAGCAACAGTAGCTTACTAAGTTATAGGAGTGGTTCAAATGATAATTTTGCTAAAATTCAATTTCAATCTTCAAAGTTCTGAAGAAGTTACTGATGATAATGATGTGACTTTATAAAGAAAGCTATACTGTGACAAACAACATGATCGCTCTGAAGTTTCGTGAAAGTTTTATGTAATCCTCGCTCTTTAGTATGCCATTTGAGAAGCTGAAACTCAGTCCAAGACAACAATCAGTAAGCCATTCGAAGTGCAAACTTGCTGATCACAAGCTCGAAGAAAAGAAAGGTTCTGCGCGCAATTTCCGCAGACGATGTACTGGTTACACCCACACCCCAGCCAAACCCACACCCACACACCCATCAAGTAGAATCAATAGAGTCATTCGGAATCAACCAATGGAATCACTAAAAATCATGGTGAGCCATCAGAAGTCACTTAGAATAAGTGGAAACGAATGAAATCAGTCCTCTTCAGTGATTGCATGTTCACACAAGCTCCTAGGGAATAAGAGTTTCATCAACTAAAAACTGCTGTTTAGGATCATTTTTACGCTGAAAACTAGCTTTCTAGACCTTGTAATGCATTTTAGTACGCGAAGAATATAAATTTATATATTTAGATAGATAATTAAATAAATAAATAATATATAAAATACTGCCAAACCAGTTCAATCATGTCGATTTCATAAACCAAGTGATATGACTAAGAATATTAGCTTCCTCGTATTGTCAGATAATGGCAAAGAAATTATTTTATTTTAGAATAACTTCGGGAGACGAAAGGATAAATAGAATATTGATGTTGAAGACAACTAATAAATGAATCTTCATCGGTAACAAGAGGATAAAATTTTTTATTTCACAAAAGTCGAAGAAAAAAATTAAAAAAATTAGTTTTCACAATGAAATGTTGTCCAGTAAATCGTGACTTTTGAAAATACATGATAAATAATTATGTATCAGTAATAAACGTGTCACTTTAAAACCTTTTTCCCTTTTCTGAAAAAAAGGGTTATAGGGTCGTTAAAAATGCTTAAAGTTTGTTTGTTCGTTTGTTTGCCTAATCCAATCAGATTGCAGCAAAATGTTATCCTTGAAAATTCTCTGTATTTTACCTCAGAAAACATTCATACTAGAGTAACTGAGGCCGAGGAACACGAATCTGAGGTTAGTTTTTAAAAAAAAAATTTGTACCATTTTTTGGGACAAAGGACCAATTTTTTGCAAAATAAAATTATTTTATAAGGGTTGACCGAAGGGTTTTCGGGGTCAAGGAACACGAATCTGAGGTCAGTTTAAAAAAAATTTTTTTTTCCACTATTTTTTGGGACAAAGGACCAATTTTTTGCAAAACAAAATTTTTTAATAAGGGTTGACCGAAGGGTTTTCGGGGTCAAAGAACACGAATCTGAGGTTAGTTTTTAGAAAAAATTTGTTGTTACTATTTTTTGGGACAAAAGACCAATTTTTTGCAAAATAAAATTT